ATCCCACACAACATTGAGCTCACTCAATGGGTCTGATGTGGTGGATGCTGGCCTGAGAAGTTCTGTGCATACATTGCAGCCTTAGACACTTCCCGCTTCCCAACCTTCTTCCCTCTAAAGACACACAAGAAATAAAACCTTATCTCGTGAATACGATTGTGCCGTGTTTGTCCTCATAGTTTTCATGTGAATGTTTATATGTCATTTTATGTTAACATGAAACAGAACTCAATCTGCCCCCTAAGTTCCCCAAAATAACTGAGGAACAAAACCATTAGATTCCTCCTTAAATTTTTTCTCTTGTGTCTTTACACATTCTTAATTTATAACCATCATTATGTTAGAGGCTTTTTTATTAAGTTTGTTTTTTTTTTAAATTATGAGTTGGGGAGGTCCTCTGCAAGTGTGAAAGCAAGTACCCACGAAAGTCAGAAGAGGGAGTTGGGAGCCATATAACAGGAGTGCTGAGAACAAGATATACCCTACAAAGGCACACACACCACACCACATCCCAGTGACCTACTTCCTCTGGCCAGGCCCTATTTCCTAATAGTCCATTCAGCTATTAACTCATCAAGCCACTGATGAAGTTAGGGTGCTCATGACCCAGTCACCTCTCAAAACCCATCAGCTGGCAGCCAAATCTTGAAGGGACAATTTTAGACTCAACCCTAATGAGAGTCTAGGCTGACGTCTGCTGTCATGTGGCTACTTCCTCCTCAATGAAATACTCCCTCCTAGAGTCAAAGGCTTAGAAACCCAGGTCTTAAAAAATTATAAAAATCATGAAGCTAGCTGGGTGTGGTGATGAATGCCTGCTGTGGAATAATCCTCTGTACACTGTGAATATGTATTACTTTCATTGGTTAATAAAGAAGCTAATTGGCCTATAGCAAGGCAGGATAAAGTTAGGTGAGACAATCAAACTGAAGATTCTGGGATGAAGAAGGGCAGAGTCAGGGAGTCACCTGCTAGAGAGAGAATTAGTCAGACATACAAAATGGGATAGAGGTAAATGCCACAAGCCTCGGAGAGGCACATAGATTAATAAAAATGGGTTATGTTGTAACCCATTTTAGTTAAGTTTAGTTTAGTTAAGTTAGTTAGTAACAAGCCTGAGCTATTGGCTGATCATTTATAAATAATAGTAAGCCTCAAGCTGGGCGGTGGTAGCACACGCCTTTAATCCCAGCACTTGAGAGGCAGAGGCAGGCGGATCTCTGTGAGTTCAAGGCCAGCCTGGTCTACAAAGTGACTTCCAGGAAAGGCGCAAAACTACTCAGAGAAATCCTGTCTTGAAAAAATCAAAATAATAATAATAATAATAAGCCTCTAAGTGGTTATTTGGGAACTGTCAGGCAGGAGAGAAACATCAGACAACACACACCTTTAATCCCAGCACTTGGGAGGCAGAGGCAGGTGGATCTCTGTGAGCTCAAGGCCAGCCTGGTCTACCAAGTGAGTTCCAGGACAGCCTGATCTACAGTTCCAGGACAGCCAAGGCTGTTACACAGAGAAACCCTGTCTCAAAAAAAATAAATAAATAAAATAAAATAAAATAAAATTTTAAAAATCAGGAAGCTCAGAAATTTATGATTCACAAGCTGCAGTGATGCAGCTAGTGTGATTGTATGAGTTGCCATCTGTCCTGCAGTGGCCTTTTCAGGAAATCGGCTGCTCAAGTCAAGCCATGCTCCTAAATTCAAAAAAGCCCCCAATTCCCCCAGGGAGACGAAATGGAATGGTTTCTTTGGTCATTGTTGGTGCCCTGAGGTGAATAGATGTTTGCTCGAATGTCCCCAGGAAGGTTATCAGGACAGCTGGGGTGGGGGAAATGTACCAAGCACTTCATTAACCAGCCACACTGTCCCTCACTAGCAGCCTTTCCCCTCCACCCTCCACCTCAGCTACCCCAGACCCACATAGCCCTGCACAACCCACCTCCCTGCTACTGTACTTTTCCCATTCTCCGCCCTCCCTACCCTCTGTCGAGGCTTTTCTCAGCTGGTACTGCCTTCCTGCAGTCTTTTCCAAGTCCTGTTGTCAAAGTATCTCCTGTGTTCCCACAACTGCCTCTAGAGGCTCCATGAGAGCAGCCAGGCCTGGTCCCCTCTGCCTGCCTGTCCCCTGTGAGCACCTGTGGTCTGGAAATGAGCCTACCATTGACCCCACTGTCTGCTCTGCCTTCCTATCCCTATCCACTTCCGGATCCTGCCGCGGACGACGCGGACGACGTGAAAGCCTTTTCCTTTAGTTGTCTATTACTAGAACCAGGGCCAAGCTTGTGTCCAGGGGTCCTATGGGAAGGGCTTTCCCACTCCATCTCACAGCCCCTACCCTAAACTGAAGGCAACCCCAGCCAGACTACGCCCTGTAGCAGTTTTCGCCTAAGTCCAGAGAGGCCACAGGACTCTGCTCTGACTAGCTGTCACCATGACACATGGAGGGTCTACTGTCCGAGCTTATTCTACAGCTTATTCTACGCACACAGGCATCCTCTCAAAGCAACTCTGATAGGGATCAGGGGGAAGTGACTCATTCCTCCCTCCCTCCCTCCCTCCTGCACACCGTCATTTACAAATGTAAGGAGGGGCTGGGTAAAGCACCCAGGCCTGAGGACAGGTTTTGAACAAGCTTCAAAGATCCCTGGCTTCCTGTTGACCAAGTCGTCTTCAGTGTGACAGGCCAGCAGGGAAATGAGAAGGCAAAGGGGACAGGAACAGCAAAGGACAGACGGAGGGACGGAACCCCAGCCGCGGAGAGGGCCCTCGGAAGCCAGGGGACTGGAGGAAGCCAGGGGGCTGGAGCGGGGTTCCAGCCACAGAGGCGCATTGTGTCTTTCTGGGGCTAAGGTGACAAAGCACCACAGACTGAGTTGTTGAAGGAGAACCGTGCTGCCTGGGGATTCTGGAGCCAAAGTCGGAGATCAGAGTGTCTGCAGGGAGGTGTGGGCAGATAGGTGTGGGCAGACAGGTGTGGGCAGATAGGTGTGGGCAGGGGGTACCATGAAGTCGGCGAATGAGGCCTAGCTGTCTATAATTTTTATAGGAAACTTGTCAATAAGGTATCTTTGGATTAGGGTTGTTAAACTGATATACCCTAGTCATCAAACATTGTCAGATCTGAGAAGGATAAATGTAAGAAGTGAGACAGCTTTCTTTCCAGCTACCTAATCCCAAGTCTCTCCATTGTCGCTGAGGGGCGCAGAAGCCCCAAAGGAAGCACTTACTCAGCTGATAGGCCCAGAAGATCTGACAGGTTTTATCTGTGGAGTAGAAATTTTGGGAGGCTGACGCCCCCTGACTTTG